TGTTCAAGCATTAACGTGTGAATCCAATTTTCACTGTGCTGTGTCAAGTCTCAATATGAGGGAAATGGCATTTTTACTGGAATTTATTTTAGCGGGAAAATGTTTACAGTGAAAATGAAGTATTTCACATTATTGCATATGTACTGCACTTTATTTTAATTCGTCCCTGAAATCAAAATCAGTATTTCCACACCAAATATGCAAATGAGGTATGAGAGCAAACAAAGTTGTCCTTTCAAGAGTAGCGTTTTTCGAAACATAGCAGAGATAAACTATATTTAGAAGTACGATATTTTACCCTTGGGTACATGAATATACTTGCCGAGTGAAATAAAATTTGAACAAATGCCAAATGAACCACACCCTACATTTCTATGATTAAAAGGCACGGACGTAGCTCATTCTAGTCAGCTTGAGTGTGGGCAACAATTTACTGTTTTTTATGTCTATTTTCATTACCGAGAAAATGGACCCCAACGTTGGGGTAACTTTTCGCCAGCGACGGCTTTTAACTCATCTCTGAGATTTTTTTTTGGCTTGTCTAATTTTGTTCATACATGACAGGCAGGTCATAACGTCACAAATTGGAAAAACAATCCTGGCCCACAGTTACCATGGCAACAGCCAAAAACTGATTTTGTATACTTTCGCCCCAAATTTATTACCTCCTACCAGTCTTGTAATAGCACTAGCAGGCCCGTAGTTTGGGGGGGGGGGTTCGGTTGGTTCGGTCCGAACCCCCTAAATTTTGGAAGTGAATAGATTTATGATCGTAGATTAGAAACATAATAAAACAAACAGTATTAATTAAAATAATTATCGTTGTTTTAATCACTTGACTCCGTGATGTAACTATCAAGAGTAATGTAATGAGTAATGCATAGTAATGAGCATTTACGGTGCAAACGAGCTTTAAATGTCAATCGTGAAGTTATGCCGTCTCAGCTCAACAACAGCCAACCAAAACAGGTTGTTATAAATAGGCATCTTTTATTCGTTTTTTCCGCGATGGTGTAATGAAGATCGCGTTCAAGCACCTGATGTTAAATATTGAAACAATAATGTAATGGTAGTCACTCTCTGAATGATGTGGTGGTCCTGAATAGGGCAGTTTGTCTTGTGCTAATGTTCGCTCAGTTAGTAAAGTGTGGAGATCGAACGGGATTGACACCGTCACACGACAACACCACACTGTACTTTCCTATTTTGGTTCATTAGTTTTGTATTCTTCAAGTAATGATGGCATATATACTGTTTTGTTCCAAGTGTATCAGCCAAATGTAGTCAACTAATTGTATTAGTATGTGTAGCCTATGTTATTGGATAATTTTGTACAGCTACGGGTTGAACATATCATTAAAAAAAATACCGAAGATTTATCATCACGAGTTGTATAGGTCGAAGAGCTTCTTGCAGCCAACAATTTACCCCACAGTGTTGCTTCAGCACTGAAACTATGCGATGAATCATAAATTGCAAACATAATTTTTTTACACGTTTTTTTTGATGTCTCAGAAAATTTACTATATTTTTAGTGGGTTCATAAAAGGAGTTGTAGTCATTGAAGTCTATTGAGACCGCTTCTAAACTGCCACTATATGCATATTATTTTACCACCCTCTAAAAACAGATTTACAGTGAACCAAATATATTTACATACTGTAAGAAACTTGGTAGTATGCCATT